TCTCACGATTGATAAACTGCCATTCTTCTTCAGTTTCTATGGAGACTAAATAACCTTTCTGGTCGGAGCAAGCACGATTGTTGTTACCCCAATCTCTTCCGCTTTTCGAAAAAAAGTAAGAGGAGTTTTTGAAACAGGTTGCTTGGCACTCTATGAGAAAGAATAAATGAATAAATAAATAAACGAAAAAAACGCATACTGATGATAACAATAATGCTGATACGAATATAGAAGCGATCCTCAATCCTCTATGAACGGTTATATACGGGAATTGAATCCATGACCTCTGCGATACCGGTGCAGCGCTCTACCAACTGAGCTAACAAGCCAACTGGGAACTCAATTTATTTTTTCAGGCCACATTTTCACTACTACTTAAGTAGTGTTCATAACTGTTCATCAACCGCAGTGCACATATATGATTTTCATATATTTACAGTCATGTAATAATGCTGATGATGGACACGAAAAAGTATTTTTTATACAATTAATTTTAATAACAAACGATGGGCATCAAAATCCTCTACCTCACTGAAGCAAAAATTACAATTAGGCTACGTAACGTTTTAAAAGTGGAAATTGGAGAGATCAGGGTAATAGCACCGTTATTCATTGAATTTTTGTTTTGCTCTCCAACTTACGTTTTAAATCACAATCCGATGTAATTCTAACAGCAAGTCTATGGCTCATTATTGGCATAATCAGTCAGATATTGTCTTTTTTTACCGTTCATGTTAAGGTGCATAAATGTTAAAATTGAAATTACACTGCCTAACCTGTTCCTGGCAAATCCATCAACAAATGAAGGATGACTGTGGAAGAGAATAAGCAAATAAATTGATTGTTATCTCAAGAATAACATTTGAAACAATGGAAAAGGTTATTAGATTTCGAGTTAGACCGTGCTAATGCATTTTATTTGCCTCATGCCCTTTGATATCTACCCACGAATTTTATAACCTTCCTTGGAAGCAGACAGAGAAATTTTAAAAAGTGTCGCATCTCCGCAATTTACCAACCAGCTGAACAAAACTTGTTACATGTGGAAAATATTTATAAGGATGGATCTTCGCGAACGTCCTTCGCGAAATTCTTAAACGGGTTATTTCAAGTGCAACCAAATTATAAAATAATGCAAAGGATGTGAAATGCGCTACTCAGGAGAAAAATAGTGTTTCGTTTTAGCTTGCAACAATGCGAAACGGACGACGGCTGTTTCTTTAAGCGAAGGAATCGGGTTTCAAATCTGACCGCTCAAAAAGAAATTTTGAGGTGATCTCTTAAACATGACTAACAAGAGGACTTTATTAAAAGCCAACGACAGAATTTTTTAATTAAGCTTAAATCAAAAAAGATTCTCTGCGTGGTTGTAATGAATTCCATTGCAGAATTTAAATACATAATAATTGCTTAATTTTCAGGGTTGATTTAATTATTTTACTGTGAGTGCACGTCACTTTAACCACCGACGGCTCGTTCGGAGCCATCGAAATTCATGATTACCAATGATGTTTTAACATAGGGCGATAAACGAAAAAGTACACCAATTCAACCATGTTTTTTTCCCGGATCGAATTTTAAACTTTGCATCTGTGTAACTTAATATCATTTTAAGTACACCCTGATGATTAAGCTCGATCTCTTGTCTAAGCACGTCGAACGTTCAGCAGCTATCTGAAGAGGAAACGTGGTTCCCTTAAGATATCTTGTCAAAATGGCATAAAACGATGCCAATTAAGCTGTCTTAAATGTGGCTGCCAAAGCTTTTGTGTAGACAACCATAACGCAAACAACATGACCACCGCGCCAATGTCTAGCTTGTGCTATTTGCTTTCTGATTACTTTGCTTTGCATGAAGGGCTTCAAGGAACCCAATTTATAGGAGATCCTTCTCTAATTTAAAAAAAATTTCTGGTAGCGGTTATTTGGCACTCTCAATTAAAACAAAAAAAGACCAGATTCTAAAGATACCCGCATTTAATGCGGGCATCTTTAGAGTCCGGTGTCTTTTGTTTTAATCAAGAGTATCATATAACCGCCACCTGACATTTTTTTCTCGGGTTTTACAGGAAGTTCCAAAATCGATAGAAATGTTTTGCAAATGGAAAGTCGAGATATAATTAAGGTGGCACTAGCCTAGCGCACAACTATTAAAAAAAAATTTGCACACTTTGTTGGACTCAATTGTACTCATCTCGCAACTCATCGAGCGCACGTTACTATTATCGGTTGCTGTCAATACCTGTCTTTACACTTGTACGAATGTGTCATTCCGGGTAATTCTTTTCTCAATTATTTGGCATTGTATGGAAAGTGAAAAATATTGAGAAACTTATAATAAAGATAATGATGATAATAAAAGAATCCCCAAGTTTTGCTTTAATGATTAACAAATAGTTTAGAAGGACTTGTGTAGAGTTTGGTATGTTTCGCTATTAAAGTTCCGTAGGAGTAAGAATCGAAATAAGCATTTCACAAATTGAAAGTCAATTTCGACGGTGTCATAGCTTACTTACCTAGCACACAGCATATTAAAAGGGTTTTCAAAATTTTGCCGTATTCAGTACCATTTACCATCCACTTCATCATGCCCAAGGAAATCAAAGGTTGTTGTTCAGAGTTATCGTTACGCTTATATTTCGTTCATCCCACAGGAGAGTTGCGGATTTGCGGCATCCCCATAAAACCCTTTCGTACGAGTTAGAGTTTAATGCTAATCATGATCTCTGATCACATGTTCATGGCGTTAGTCTCCATTTTTTTTTTCTGTCATAGACGGACCAATGGACAAAAAGCAACTTGCACCTGATGTAGAGCATTGTTTTTCTAATACAATTGAAAAGCTTCACGTCATTAAAATACTTTTTGTAGTTCAAGTGCTGCAGAAGAAGCAGCTAAAAAATATTTGATGGTAAGAACGGTAATTTCTTTATGAGCTCTGTTAAATGAAAGTTGTCCTAAACAAAATTCTGTTTTATCAACGGGCAGCTTAAGCTAGAATGCCATCTGTTCGTTATGCATAAATGGAAATTATTGTTATTTATTCATCTCGCTTATGACACGCTAATTACCTCGTATGCCTTTAAAACAACGGTGGCTAACGGCCAAAGTTTAGTTTTCAGCCTACAAAACAACTCTCTCCTAGAAAAGCGTCATGCAGACCATCACTTTTGTTTCCAAATGTTTGAATCCCAACAATTTAGAACGAGCGGTGAGTCAAAAGCTCTTCGTGCGAGACGTTCTTGGGTCATAGTGATGTGCTCTGTGGGCGAGACATTCTACTCTCCCAGTATCTCTCCACGCTCATGGAATAATTGATTATTTATTCTGGAATATTCGCTCGTCTTAGCTGCAATGTATTCAGTCAATCGAAGTTTGAAACGTTTTTACCTATCGTATTTGAGCAGTTTAGAGAGAAAAGTGCTTGTATATTTCAGAATAATTTTTATTTTAACTTCTTCCGTTTTAATCGCACGCTTCGTCACCATGTTTATTTATAAATGGGTATGACGTAAACTAGACTATTATAAACTGTTAGCCACATTTACATAATTGACTCCTTCTCTCGCTTGTTGAAATTCCTCTGCAATGCTAAGTTCCGCTGTAGTGATATTTGAAAATCAGGCCCATCGAAATATTCTGCATTTCTATCGCTAAGCTTTTTCCTTTAAATTGTATACTCTGTGTAAAAGTTCTTTAATCGTTGTTCAATAATGTGTGCCGAACAGTTAATAATCTCTAGGTTTATGCCTTTTCCGGCTAACATTGCCCCAGTTTAATTCCAAATTAATCGATGTATATTCGATTTAAAATGATACTCCTAATTTTAGGAATGCGAAAAAAAATGGTTAAATGTAACTGATCCAAAAAAAGATCCAGTTACAAGGATTTTTTTTCTGTTCTTTCTAAATAAGTTGTTTACTTATTCAAACATTTACGAATTGATCTATTTATTCATTAAGCAACAACTTTGAATGTCAGCGTTAGCAGTTAAGACTATTAGTATTATTTGTTACGGTACAATTTAACAGACAAAAAGAGCATCATTTATCAACAGACCCATTTAATTTATTAAACAACTTGTAATATTCTTGCCAAGGAGCGACTCTTAAACAGTTGGAATAATTATCCTATAAAATTGATTGAAACCCACCGCAAACTACTCCTTTCCTCACTACTGACACAATCTGGAGGTTGTCTCCAAAGTAAATCGAGATTAACAATCTTCAACGGTTGCTCTCTCTCGGTATAGCTTTCTGAAAAGTCAGTCCCTCCCGACAACAAGTATTACTGCTGCACGACTGTGTCCTTATGTACAAAGTATTCTCGAAAATTCTGGACGCTTACAACACAACTATATTGGTAGTGTTACATCATAACTACGTAACCTAGTAAACTGCTCCAGAAAGTCCCTTGGTATGCATTTCCGCATGACTAGGCATTCTCGAAATTTCTAGAAACCTATAGTTTCAGTTATTATCCATAGCTTAATGTTTAAAGTAATGACAGTGTTTGGTGAGAAGTTTGTAAACTCACTAAGTGAAACGTCGAATATGAAATAATCATGCAGTAAGTGCAGAAAGTTAGCGCGCAAGAATCGAAAGATAAATACATTCAATTAAAGCTGCGTGCTAGAGTGCTTCTTAAAGAAAGAAAATTCGTGATATCTTGGCTTAAATTCCCGCCTCGTCTGTAGTGGACTGTGGTCTTATTCGAAGGAAAGTCATCAAGATACTGAGCTATTAGAAATTTAAATTTATACATTGGTTTATTTCGATAATCTTGCATACAAATATACGATCGCCCCAAAAACAACCTTGTTATCGTAAAGAGCATACATAACAATTACAGCTAGTTGAATGCTTAAACAATAATGAAAAGAAAGAACTCTTTTTAGTTGCAGAGAGCAAGTCAGATCGATCGTAACCGACTTATTGCTGTTAACTAAGTGATTGTACTAGGTAATTGACTGTCATTTCCGGTTGGCTGGTTCCAGTTAGGTGCGATTTCGATTCAAACTCAGCACAAGACAGCAATTCAATTGCCCATACATCCCCAACCTCATTTGGATTGACCTGTGGCTCTTCCTTGTGGAGTTGTTCTTTAAAGAAGATGGAAAAACGATGTTCATCTTTCTTTTGAATCGCTCTCTGATCTGCAGATAGACGAGCAACACGAAATTCGGTTCTTAGCACATGTACTCGGATATCTATCGAAACTCTAAAACTTGATGATATGGAGTTAATTATCAGTTTGAAGTTTTTTTCTTACCTGAATGTTTCGCATGCAGTGTAGAGCGAAAATTAGGAAACCCTGCAGCATGAAAATGATTTCAAGATCATTAATTTTTGCAATATGCAAACAAATTAGTCAAATACCTATAACGATTTCAAGAAGGAAATAAAATTGCGTATCTTATAATTGAAAAAGAAGTCTTCCTTCTCTTGCATAGCTAACTGCATTTTTGTTTTCAAAACTCCAAACAATTATCATGTGATCATTGTAATGGTGTCTCATTTGGTTAGAAAGTAAAATAATGATAGAGATTGAATAATTTTGAGAGTTACCAGCGAATACTGACTTGAGCAGAGTTGAGTATGGTGAAGACGTAAACGAAAGTTTCATGTACAGGCGAGAGGAGACCGAATACCACCTGACACCCAATAGGGGAATCATCACCACGCATGCTTTGATGCCAATTCTAGGAGTTAAAGAGAAAACATTCCTTTATTTTCCTTAAAAAATGTATTTTCATTTTTAGATATCGTATGGCCTTACTGATTAAGGAATGAGGAAGGTTGGCGAATAGAGCCTGACTGGAGAAGATGAAAACCTCTTCCACTATTTTGTTTTCGTTTTGTGTTGTCAATCTTACCGTATTTGCTGAGAATGGTAGTTTTCCCCTTTTGCCGAGGAAAGAAATTTGTTTAGTTTCTTAGCTACTCTCTACAGGTTTATGAAAAGCAATCCTCAACATTAATATTGTGATATTAACATATCATTTTAATGTGTAATGATACTCTACCTAATTGCACTCGCTATTTCTTTGTCTGCATTGATGTCCGCTGGAGACTTCGGAAACTTTCAGATCACACCCTTTTCAGGCTTTACGCTGTCAATAAAAGGTTGCACAGTCTCCAGACCATCGTAATTGTACAAGACTCGCCGAGTGCTGTATGAACACGACCGAATACACGGGAAGAAACACTGGTTGTATTGACGAGTGGCGTAACAGCAATCAATAGAGTTTCCCATAATGAAGATAATGGACATTTAGAAAATAAAAAAAAGTCCAAAAGAGAATAATGATCAACTTTTACGAATCAAAAGAACAATTGATAATATTTAGATGTAGCCAAGTCTAAAAGCGGAGCTATAGGGATGTTATTACTGTACAGCCCTTTACCTCATTAAAACTTATCATTGGCTATCAAAGAATTTATTCATGGCAACTAGGAAGGAGACATTAATCATGAAGAGGGGGGCTTGGAGTCAAGGGCCTTTCAGTGGGGGCAGCTTTCCTTTGTTCATTTAAGAAATGAGACGGTTATCTTCTTAAGTAAGTTCCGTGGATAATAAGAGTGAATGACTAGCTAGATAATTTGTGCAAATAGCCAGTAAAGGATTAAAAGCAAGATATTTTTTAATTATTGGCGGAAAGCGTCCTCAGTGATCAAATGAATAGGATCAAAGTAGTTATAAAAGACCAAATAAAAACTGTGAACATTGACAAAGCGATGTTGGAATTTTTCGGTATGAAGCGGAGATGAAGAAAAAAAAACTTCATTGCCTCGATGCGCGCTATTTATTTCTTATTGAGTGCATAGAGAGATAAATCTGTACTCGAGCCAAGATGCCTATCCAGCAACAGCCTATTCTTGTTTCTGTAGCGTGAAGTGACAAGAAGTATAGCAATTCTCCCCCTGGCTTGAATGCTCGTCCGTGACATGTTCCTCCCCCCCTTCCCCCCACCCAACCCCTTGCTCAGCATTTCGTCAGGTTTTTCTGTCAGTTCGCCGGTACCCATTTCAACTCCTAGATGAAGCGAGGCACTGTGAGGATAAAGAGACTTGCCTAAGAACAGAGCACAATATGTGAGAAATTTTAGTGCGAACTCTGCAATGGTAAATCGATGCCTCGTCTCTGTCTCGATATGATTGTTTGGATGGTTGGATCGAGAAGGTCCCATTTGTCTCACAAAAAAGAGAAAAAAGAAAAGAGATTCACTATCATTTGCGCGATTTACTGAAGGGACACACCACTCAGATAATCAGCTGGTAGCTGAATCAGTTTTATTCCGATTGTGCAGCTCGTCGGCGATCGTGTGGGTAGATGGAGTGTCTACGTGTTCGTATCGATTCGTCACCTCAACTCCGGGCATGACGAATGTGGACATCGTTGTGTTCCAAATACGAACTTATACAAATTTCTTTCTGGGATTCCGTTCTCACAATAAGACGAATTTTGATGATCACATATTTTTTATGTATTTTTTTTTTTACAGAAGATGGCTAAGAAATATACAAAGCTTTAAAACGCATGTGCTGAGCTGCTAGGCTATTAAATCGTTTGTTTTACCAAGTCGCCACCGCCGTGGATTAGAGACCTTTAACTACGACGACGGCGGCAACGGGGACGAAGCAAAACAAAAGATCTAATGAGCAGAACAAAAGCAGAACAATAGCAATTGAATGCAGAGTTAGGGAAACTGAGGCCTCTAGAAGAGAGAGAATCATGAACATAGCCGTGAACCACGCACTAAGCTCGAATTAAATGTTAGACGAGATTTGTAGCCTTCAAGCTAGCACTTCCTGTTGCAGTTGTTTTTCGTGCAGTCAGCGGAAAATAAAAGGGCGTCGCGCGAATAAAGAAATCGCAAGGGTCTGCCTCCTCTTTTCGTGATAACGGAGGTTTGTTTTTCTTTTGATGGAAAAATAGATCAAATGGTCAATTACCCTCAATCATCGGTTTCGAATAAATCTGCTGCGTATTCATTGCCGCAATTAAAAAAAATAATCTCTTGAAAAAGTTCAACTTGAGCTACTAAGCTAGTTTACACTGCAACCCCTTTTCAACTCATTTTCTTTTTTATAATTTTGCCGTAGTTTATTGTTACAATGGTTTCCCTTGAGCTACACGGCTAGATCACGCTACCATAACATTTGGACGTGATGTTGAAAGAAAGGAAAACATCAAGAACCACATCGCTTAAAGATTTCATTATTCTGCGATCGGGAATTTTACGAGTTAATTGTCTTCATTCAAAACACTAGAAGCTTCTAGTGATTACTGAATTCCTTAGCAGTCGAAAAACTATGGGAATTAGCCTCATATTGAATAAACAAACTTAGTCACTGTGATTGCATAAGTAAAAATACCTGCGTTGTTTAAGAAGTGATCATATCATAAAATCAGTTAGGAGAGATTTATTTGGAAAGAAATGTAGCTGTGATTTTGTGATTTCCACTTCTGAGAGAAATTGTTAAACTATCCCAGGCATATCAGAAGTTTCTAAAATGTCTAACAAAATAAATTAGGACGGATAGTTTTGTGTTTGACTTTCTATAAGTTTAGAGACTGCGTGAGACCTTTGTATGGCAAGGGATTAGATTGTTATAATCTTAAACACAATTTTGAATTGTGCTGCGCTGAAGCCGAGAACCTCAAATTCCTTTCTACCGAAAAGATGATTTTTCGAAATGAAACTTACTTCATTCAGCTAATAATGAAAGTATTGTAACCGAGAGCATCTTAACAACCGTCAGCCAACTGATCAGGAAAGTTTGCACGTACGCGGGTGCCCTCGATTGTTTTCACTTTGTAAACAGTTTGCAGCTTTTGAGTGTCAATGTTTTAGCTTCGTATTTACGTAAGTGATTACGTTAACCTCTGGTCGTGTGCGATGACTGCCGAATTGGTTACTCGACAACGTGTCAACAAAAGACAAAACATCCAGCTTTGAGGAATAAACAAACTGACTCGCGTTCCAGTTTTCAAAAACTGTTTATTTATAATCAACAAGAAGATATTGTAAGTAATATTTGCTGAAATTACATCGCGTTTTCTTTGCCAATGGACCATAACAGATTACACACCTGACACAAAAGAATATATTTGCCAGAGGATTGTATTTTGAATGTACAATTAGTCAACACGATGAATTTAGAAGCGTTAACTATCAAATAATATTGAGAAGGTTTTAAACATTACTCACAGAGGAATCCATATTTTAAAACCACCTTTATAAAGAAAGAATCAAATAATGAATTAGTCGAGAGGTAAAGGTATTAAAGCTAATAGTAAGTATGATTGTCTGGATAAGTGAACTATTTAAGTGATCACCAATTTTTCATCTGACTTCCCCTCCGCGAGACATGAAATTAGTGCCAATCACTTTCATGGACATTAGCTCTTTTCAGGACAATACGCGCTTCTTGATCGACCGTTCTTTCTAACTTTAAGCAGTTTCTACCGCGAACATTTCTTCTTGTCATGCAGCTGGAAGTTCAAGATCAACGAGTGTTATCGACGACACTGAACAATATCGAAACCACGGATAAATGGTCTTTGGTATTACTGCTTTTTTTCTCAGAAACTTTACAGATTTCTAGTTTAAGCAATCCTCTTTGAAAGTGATGGTATATTGTAAAGTGGCACCCGAGTTTATAGAGCAGTATCCAAAAATTTCATTTTATTCTCGTATCGTAACCAAGTGTTGATATCTCTGACCATGTTCAAGCCATTTGCATTAATCTCAGACATACCTCAATCGTCTCTTGACGTCATTTAATGACTGAGTAACATTAGCTGGCTAATTAGTGGTTGACTTAAAAATTAAAACAAGACATGTCAGAAATATCATATGATCATTACATTATGGTGAGCCTGGGAGAGAAATCAACTGCCCTTAGCAAAACAACCCAGATGCGTAACTATAGCGCGTGAGTGCATCAAAAAACAGGGGGGAGGGGAGGGGCGGGGATGAAGCACTAGAAAGAATATCACCCCCTTTCTTTGCCAGAGTGATTAAAGTAACAATTTTTGAAATGAAAAAAATCTACTCCAGACACTGAAGTAGGACCCTCCCCTCCCCTGTTAAGGAACTCTGCTAGCAGTCCTTTATCGAAAAGCGAACAAGTCGTCAACACTTAATATATTTTGAGCTTTAAGGAAAGGAAATTAGTTGCTTTTCGGACGCCATCAAGAAAAGAAAAATATCCTTTTCAATAAGTATTTCAAGCATGAAATGTCACAGACATCTAACGTGAATTATATTGAGTAACATTAAGGATGAAAATGCAATAAAGTGATATTCTCCAAGTTATTTTTTTCCGTTGATTCATGCAGTTCTAACTTTTTTTGTTGATTTGGTATGTTTTTGATACTTTGAGACAACATTCGATGCTCACCAAAATATTGAAACCCGCACCGTAAATCCTTAAACTCCACCCCTTCCCCAAAGGAAACAAATCAACAAACGCTGTCCCTGATAGATTTGATTCTTCTTTATTTAGACCTTGATTTTACTCGATAGTAAAAACAAATTGATTATTCAATCAGGTCTAGAAATGCGTTTAATTCTTAAAGCCGTGTCTGTCAACCCTTTTCCTCTCCATTATCAGTTTTCAATCTCGTAATCGTATGAAAATGAGAAACAATGACTTTACATTCTTTTTACGCAAACGTCATGTTGACAAAGTTTCTCAAGGAACTCAAAGTGACAAGCTTTGTCGGGTGGGTAGAATTTGATAGTTATAGCTTTTCCTTCCTCACTAAACGGAGAAGACAAATTTTATGCTGGTATACATTCCAAATCCTGCCAAAAATAAGCACTCATACTCAATTATTCAAACTCTGTAATCCCGTACAAACTTTTGCCATTTTTTTATAGTTTTCAAAACTTTCTTAGCTCAATGAATTTGTACACAAACCGCTGCCTCGGTTCCACTCCTCTCCTGTTTCATGGTGGAGCAGGCGCAGATAATGTTCGAAGTGAGATTGTGACTTAGATCGTTAAGTTTTTGACGTCATTGTTAATATTCGCTAAAGTTCTGTTTTCTGGGTTGAAGAATTTCTCCAAATACCAAGAAAATTTTTTTTGTAGAAACTTTGCTTTTCGTCATCAAAGGAAATATTTGAGAATAAGTTTCAAATTTGATTTAATCAGTTTTGAATGTCTGGACAAATATTTGATTTCTGTGATAAGATATAGTGCACGTTTTGTATTTTAGACAGTTTTTACTCACTCGATTGTTCAATATTTTTCTAAATAACTCTCGACTATGCGATGACAGGGGAAAAATCTCAATGGTTGAATATAACGAAAACTATAATTAACATTACCACACTCAGTATTTTTAAGTAGAGTTTTAAAGCTGATTATAATGTGTTTTGAAACTAGATTTAAACTCGGCGAGTTAAGCCATCACACGTTGTAGATCTTAATGGTTGTGATAATATTATAGCTGACTAAATTTTTTATTAAAGAGCGACACCCGTGACTTTCCGGTCATTAAATGTTTTAGAGGAAATTTTCTCAGATTTGATGGTTTTTTAGTTTTGTGAACGTCTTTCGAGCGACAATTTTCTCTTCCGCGTGCGCACTTTCATTGAAAAGCTTAGCGAACACATCTTTATTTGGGCCAACGTTATGACGTGAAAAGGGGTAGAAAAACCTTACGGCCATGGGTGCGGTTTCTGCCTCTTTTGTGGGACCTGTTTTCCCTATTAAGAAGGTCATGATTCAGAGGAAATGATTTTTTACCGACGCAAAATGACACCTTTTATAGAAAGGTGCTTCTCGTCGGCGAAGCCAAAAAGCAGATTTTCAGTATCGATTATAAAAAAGTTTGGCTTGTGATTTACTCTTGAACTTCCATCAGTTTTTACTCGTCTAAAACGGCCTTTATTTCAAGTTTACCACCTCTTCTCAACCGAAATTTTCCCTTGAGTCCCGCCAAACAGCGGAAAAGTTAACTCTTCACAGATCCAACAAAAACTGAGATGATCAAAGAGTGACCAGGAAAGTTGCGGTACAATGTGTACGTAGTAAGCTCGCCTGACAGAAAGTCTTCAGACAGCTTATATCATTACAGAAAAAACAAAGTGTAACGTTTGTTCACAAACTGGTTGACTCATCTCACCTTGCTGATTTCGTTTTTCCTCGAGGTTTCCCTTCTGAATACTTGAACTAGGTTTTCCTCTACTTTGGTCACATTACCTCTTTATAGGCCACAATAAATATTTTATTTTTTCTTTTACTATGAGAATCGATTTACCCTCGAAAAAAAAGATGTCATTTTACGCTAGTGGTCCTTTACCTCTCTACGATGACCTTTTTCTCTGTCTTCAAACTGGCCGCTGGGATGAGTTTCTGCTGCCCGCTCTTTATTATCACTTGACAAAGCGTTCAACCGTTTGCGCGTGTGCGGATATTTCGTTTTCAAGCTGTCAAAGTCAATGGTAAATTACTGGGGTAACAAAGTATCCGTAGTTGAATAAACTTCGTGTTCAAAAAATCTGTATTTTTCCTTTGTCAAACTTTTGTTGTTTCCTGTCATTGACTCAATTCTTTCCTTAGATTTTGCGTCAGACAGGTTGCTTTGTATCCTCTACTTTACCATTTTGCGCGGGGAATTTCCAGCCAAAATTGTTCCACTTGTGTGTTTCAAAAGAGATTAACTGTTTCCGTGCACAGTATCCCCGTTTAGGTATGTTTTTTTCCTTCTCTTTTCTTTTCTTTTCTTTTTTTTTTTTTTTTTTTTTTTTTGGGGGGGGGGGGGGGGGGGAAGACTTAAAAAAAGAGCTAACATGTGCTGTCAGTGTTTTGGAAAGCTCAGTTTTTAGTTTTTTACCCATGGGTCAATTCTCTGTTGACCGTCGCTTTTAGACCGTTGTTTGTAGAGATCGAAAAGTACGCTTTACGTTGAGCGATAGCATAGACGGTTGAATATACATGTCAAAAGTAATTTGTGAAAGAAGATGGTGTCGAATACACTCAAATGTAGAGGAAAGGCGACAAAAAGTTTCGTCTGGTTCTTCTTTACCTTGGGGTAGCACCGACGAGGGGTAGTTTTCGTTTGCTGGTACTCCACAAGCACTAAATGGAGCAATTTTTTGTAAATATCTTGCCACTGATGAGATGATTGCTGACATTCTAACGAGGCCTTTCCCTAAGCACCGCTTCGAGAAACTAATCTTCAGGTCGTGAAGCTACGTTTTAATTATCTAATTTAGATGGACCTACATACAAACATAATACACTCTGAAGGAAAGTGGCAAAAAATTCTTTCTACTTGATCGCCTCTACATTTTTGTTGCCACCTCTATGTTACCATCCTTTATCAAGTTTTTCTTTATTTTAAGCGTGAAATTCAATTATAAAGAAAAGAACACATTTAATACGTATACGTGCGAAGCATTTCAGCCATTTGCCAGTGATCACGGGGTAATGTACACTACAGTCCCGATCTTTCAGTCTAATTCTCGAGTATATGATCTATTCCTTTCACCATTTATCTATTTCCTCTCTGTTTAGAAGTCACAGGCTCGCATTGTTTCCATTAGATAATGATATTCTTCGTCCTCTTTTGAGAATCCCGCCATAACCCTATCAAGCCGCTGAAACAATTCATACCCTCTTTTCTCTAATTTCCGAAGATGAGAGTTAGCGACATCCTCTTGAAATCGAACTTTCTTCCTTTTTTTACCTTTGCAGTGTTCGTCATGGCTCATTCTTCCCAGTGTTTTCAAGAATTTGCTAATTCCATCGAAAAATGATTTTCCTCTTGAGTATTTCGGCTGTTTTTCTCCTGGTTCTTGGCCTGTTTTTCCCCTCAAAGCTTTGATGGCCTCACTGATTTGGTCAAAGTTGATTTTTGAACTCTTCTTGGAATCAAGGGTAATGCTTCTATCTACTGCTTTTTTCTCTCCCGTGTTTGATGCTTGGGAGACTTTCAGTTGTCTCAGTCTACTGCTAACAGAATCGAAAAATGTGTTCCGTTCTTTTGAGCCTTTGCAACGAACCTCATCAACGAGCTCGTGCAACTCACTTTCGTTCGCGGTAACCTTTGCATCCAGAAGTGCATCGTTTATTACGCCGATAAAAAAGTTCATGCAGATAATTGTTAGGGTGAAAAGAATAGCAAAGACGAATATCTTAGCGTATGTGCTGTTTACCTCTGCTAATTCACTGATTGGTCTGGCTTTCACTCTTCCAAGAGTCAGTTCGAGTTGGAAATAAGCTGCTTTTAGCACTGAGGAGTAGCGCTCAGATCCAGTGCCAAACATCAATACACCGGCGTGAAGAAATGCCACGAAGAGAATCAATAGGACAATGCTAAAGGATGAAAGAGATTGTGCAGATATCGTCAATGCTTTGGAGAATACAGCAACATGTTTATTGAAGCGAATGACTCGCAAGAGTTTTGCAGTGACGATAAACATCAGGATTCCAAGTACAACATTTTCTGCTTCATGCCAAATGATAGCCTTTTTGAAACTTATATTTGCATAACTGTTTTCTTTTAACCTTGCCCATGTTGAAGAGACTATGATTTGTCGTTTTATGTACAAAACCACGGCCAACACGGAGAAAACAACCTGGGACATCTCCACCCAATTCCACACGGACTGGAAATACCGGGAACGGTGATTGTAAAGCTTGAAGCATTCTCTTCCCAAAAACAGCAGAACGGATACAGCGTATAGTAAAATGCAAATCAAATAGAACTGATATGAAGCTGTGTTTGTAGGATCAAGAGAAAGAATGTCAGTTTGTACCAAAGCTTCTTTGAGTCCTGATGCCTCAACTTCGTAAAAGTATGTGGCAACACCTAAAATATTCACCGACGGGTTAAACACGGAAAACTGTGCGAGAACCACCCGGGTTTGCCTGTCAAGCCAACCGTTGTTTTGCAAAGTGGTTACGGCTTTGAACCCCGTATGGTTCTTGTACCCGAGGTCTGCTACAAATCCTCCTCCACGATAAAATGAGAACTGTCCCCACTCTGACCCGCTATCACTTTCTTCCGCATTTTGATATCGCCATGGCTTCGGGCAAAGTCGAAATAAATCTTCGTCTCTTGTAGAGTTGTCGACAAACCTCCAGCCCGGTTCATAGAAAGCGGTCTTGTCTTCGTTTGTTTCCGAATATCCTTCGTAACATTCCTGGAAAGTTGTCTTCATGTATTTTAACACGTTGCATGGTGCTGTAAGTTTAATTAAAAAAGGGACATTTATTAGAAAGTTTGTTTTGGAACTAATTCAATCTGCAGGTATAGCACATCTCCCATATTCTTTATCGTGTAGGAAAATTTAGTTAATCAAAGTGCTCTGTGAGCAAACTCGTGAATTGACACATGATTTTTTAGATTATGTTTAATGTTATCTGGTTTAGGGAATTTTGTGGTTGATTGTCATATCTAGAGTACGAGCAGTAGTTCAGTGTTCGCTAATGTAGCAAAGAAACAAAGTAACGTTGGGATAAGAAGGCATTACAATTGAAATGATCATGCTATTACATTTGACAAGGTGGATGATGTCACGTGTTTTAAACGTCTATCAATTTTTGTTTCTGGTTCAAAAGAAAAGGTTGGAAGTAAATGTGGGTGAAAAGTGAAATTTACTGTCTTTCGTTGTAAATATTAGAAAATCAAGGCTATACTGTCTTAATGAAAACATTAACGATTCCCTCTTTATCAAATGAGACAAACGGGAACGAGTTTTGAGTGATATAACTAAGCCGAGCCTGCCACCGTCATTTTGGATCTCCGCCTGGGTAGATTTGAGTCACGTGCTAGGCAACGGTTAATCAATAACAAGATAGAATTTCATTTCAGGCCTATTTATCAATTTTGTGGCGTGTAACTTTCGCATTTTAGCACGTTGTATGTATGTTGAATCTTCAAATTGTCTTGAAACTTAAAAGAAAATTGTTCTTTAAAAATTCACTGAAAATCGGTAGCTAAAATTGTTTGTTTAGGTGTTATTTGATTTTCGTGTTAACTTGTTATTCCGTCAGACGCCGGCATCTTCTATTGCTTCACACAGGAAAAACACACGCAACGAAACGTAATGATCATTTTTGTCCTCAGTCTCACGCCATAACAGAAAAAGCTTTTGAACATCCGTAAACTCCGAGCGCTTCGCAGTAAGTGATATTCTCAATGAATCTTCGGATTGTTTTCAAGTTCAAGGATTGTAAATTACAATTTTATGAAAAACGAAGGTTGTTCTGTTATTTCAGTGTGAATCCTTGCATGCCTTGCATGCCTTGCATGTGAATCCTCGCCGCTTGTTGAAACTAAAACGAAAAAAAAACTCTTTTAAGATTATCATTGCCTTCTTTTTCACCCCACTACTATTCTTAGCAACAAAGGTCGCCATTTCGTCTGTTTACTGCTCGCCAAAAACTATCAAATGCACTCAAAAGCCTAAAATCTAAAAAAAGTTTTTAGGAATCGACCAATCGAGCGAGCGAGCGAGCGAGCGAATGCCATTCCCCACATCGTATCTATAACTCGCTCTTGCGCATGCGCGCAATTCACGAGTTAAAAACCGGATATTCACTTGTGCCCGTTTTTTCTCTTTAAAAGGTGTATAGACCAATACAAAATAAAGTAGAATATCAAAATCTTGACAACGTATTCCTAACACTTTGACAGAAAAAAAAAATTATATTTTCTGGGCGTCTCCTTTAGGGTGAGTTAGACTTAAAAGTAAATAAAAGAAAGGACTTACTCGATTTCACTCTCAGTTGCCTTAATCGAGCCATCCCGACGAGAAGAGAGCGT